AATTTTTATTCGTATAATATTTCAAATAAATCGTTCGAATAAAAAATTATCCCTATAATATTTCGAATAAATTCTACGAACCAATTTTTATTCCTATAATATGTCGAATAAATTCTTATAAAATTTGTATTCCTGTAATATCTCGAATAGATTCTACGAACCAATTTTTATTCCTATAATATGTCGAATAAATTCTTCGAACCAATTTTTATTCGTATAATATTTCAAATAAATCGTTCGAATAAAAAATTATCCCTATAATATTTCGAATAAATTCTACGAACCAATTTTTATTCCTATAATATGTCGAATAAATTCTTATAAAATTTGTATTCCTGTAATATCTCGAATAGATTCTACGAACCAATTTTTATTCCTATAATATGTCGAATAAATTCTTCGAACCAATTTTTATTCGTATAATATTTCAAATAAATCGTTCGAATAAAAAATTATCCCTATAATATTTCGAATAAATTCTACGAACCAATTTTTATTCCTATAATATGTCGAATAAATTCTTATAAAATTTGTATTCCTGTAATATCTCGAATAGATTCTACGAACCAATTTTTATTCCTATAATATGTCGAATAAATTCTTCGAACCAATTTTTATTCGTATAATATTTCAAATAAATCGTTCGAATAAAAAATTATCCCTATAATATTTCGAATAAATTCTACGAACCAATTTTTATTCCTATAATATGTCGAATAAATTCTTATAAAATTTGTATTCCTGTAATATCTCGAATAGATTCTACGAACCAATTTTTATTCCTATAATATGTCGAATAAATTCTTCGAACCAATTTTTATTCGTACAATATTTCAAATAAATCGTTCGAATAAAAAATTATCCCTATACCACAATATTTCGAATAAATTGTTCGAATAAAATCGTATTCCTACAATATTTCGAACAAATTGTTTGAACCAATATTTATTCGTCTAATATTTTCAATAAACTGTTCGAGTAAAATTTTATTCGAATAACCTCTCGAATAAATTGTTCGAATAAAATATTATTCGAATATACTATCTCGAATAAAATTGCATCGAAATAAATATTCGAATCGTTCGAATACAAATTGCACTCGTTGCTCGGATAAAATGTTGCCGTTCTTTGGTTACCGTTCCACGATCTGTATCTCCGTAAACGCCTTGAAACCGATACTTTCAGTATCTATTTCGTTGAATTACACACACCATAAACGGTCGTAAATCCGTCTAACGTGTCACTAAGTGCACCGCCGCGGGCCATTCGATTGCATACGTAATAATACGTATCGCCCTTGTCACTCGAGAGAGTCTTTTCTGTAACGACGCATACGTACACGCGTATAATGTATACGTATATCGGTTCTGCGTACGCACACGTGGTGACATTTGTCGATCCTGATTTTTCCAGAATCCGACGCAGCAACGAATCGGCCGGAAATCGACGCTAGGAAAAAAACAAAGCGACGTGTAAATCGACGGGTTGCACGACGAACATTCACTGCGGCCACCGAGATTAGAAAGTGTCCGATACATGTCTTAACTCTTCGGGACACGGTGGAATTAAAGATGTCCCATCTTTTTGACGCACGGTGATGCATGGTGGGACACATAATCTCGAAATATTACAATAACTGCATGCGCATAGGTTTATATTTAGTCTTGGTTTATACTTAGGCTTATATTTAGTCTTAATTTATACTTAGATTTATATTCAGTCTTAGTTTATATTTAGGTTTATATTCAGTCTTAGTTTATATGTAGTCTTAATTTATACTTAGATTTATATTCAGTCTTAGTTTATATTTAGGTTTATATTCAGTCTTAGTTTATATGTAGTCTTAATTTATACTTAGATTTATATTCAGTCTTAGTTTATATTTAGGTTTATATTCAGTCTTAATTTATACTTAGGTTTATATTCAGTCTTAGTTTATATTTAGATTTAGATTTAGGTTTATATTCAGTCTTAGTTTAGATTTAGGTTTATATTTAGATTTATATTCAGTCTTAGTTTATATTTAGGTTTATATTTAAATTTATATTCAGTCCTAGTTTATATTTAGGTTTATATTTAGATTTAGATTTAGTCTTAGGTTTATATTTAAATTTATATTTAGTCTTAGGTTTATATTTAGTCCTACTTTATATTTAGATTTATATTTAGTCTTACTTTATATATTTAGGTTTATATTTAGTCTTACTTTACATTTAGATTTGTATTTAGTCTTACTTTATATTTAAGTTTATATTTAGTCTTACTTTACATTTAGGTTTATATTTAGTCTTAGTTTATATATATAGGATAGATTTAAAAAAAATCGTTGATAGTGTAACTGTCGTGCGAGTCGCAAGCCTCAATTTCATATGCATAAAATGCACTTTATCATATAAAATGAGAATGCCATAAGTCGGAAGAATTATTTCAGATGATGTACAGTTGAAACAGCATCGAGTGCAAAAGGTTAATTGAAAACGCGACGAACCGTCGAACTTCGCGACGAGTGCAACGTGTCCCGGTGCATCGAGGATCCTGCCAGATTCGAAACGAAACGAAATGAAAACTATACATGAAACATTTCGCCGCAGTGACGACGGGTTGCAGTTGCAGGGAGGATATCGTGCATGTTACGAATGCATAGAATCCGCAGTCTGGCTATACACGTATATACGTATATACGTGCATGTACATATACATATAAATATATATATATTTTTTTTCTAATCTAGAAATATTACATATAGTAGCAGTAGTATATGTAGTAGTAGTGGTCTCTCCAGCAATTGATCACCGTACTGCGGAAGTTTAATGCGACTGTGCTGTTTTTTAATCTGCGAGCTCTGCTGTAATTAAGATTTCGATGACGTCGAACAGCGCGCGTACATATGTACATATATAATATAATATATATAAATATTAGTAATATATTGTAATATAATATATATAAATATTAATAAGATATTGTAATATAATATAATATAATATATATAAATATTAATAATATATTGTGTGTGTGTAATATAATATAATATAATATATATATAAATATTGATAAGATATTGTAATATAATATAATATAATATATATATAAATATTAATAATATATTATAATATAATATAATATAATATATATAAATATTAATAATATATAATAATATAATATAATATTTATATATATATATATAATTTTTTTTCCACCCGATTCTCTTTCCGAAATAGTTCGCGACCGAAACGAACCTAATCGACGTGTGACGGTATAAAAACTCCAACGGAAATTGATAACCTTTCCACGCGCAGCGGACTCGGGCAAATTTCATTTGAAATGAAAATAAGACGTGCCGGAAGGAAAAGGAACCGCTGAGAGATCGAGTCTGAGAACGTGAAAATTCAAGTGAAAAGAAAAAAACGATCGCCGTCTCTCGTTTCCCTTATCCAACACGTACGTTTCATTCGAACACGCGTTACAATTAAAATCATGATCGTTGGATCATGCATAACGGACGAAATGTGTAAACACACACGCACGCGTGTGTCCATGTGTGTTGACGCGTGTCAAAGGCCCCGGGGTGGTTTCGATCGACGGGTGTCATAGTCCTGGAATGACATTCGACACAATAGGCGGCCGATACGAATTCGAATAAATCGTTATATATATAAGCGGGCGCACGCGAAATTTATTTCATTTACCGTTCTCCACCTGCCTCGGCTGATTAGAACCGAACAGGTCGCGGGCCCGGGTGGACGCCGATCGCGTTTCGGGAGATAATAAGTTTGAACGCCGCGATTCCGTAAAAGTATTCGAGTATTCGAGGAAAAGTGTTATATTAAAAGTTGAAATTCGATTTTAAAGTAATAATGTTTTCGCCATGTACGACGCGTACTGAACTTTCGGGAAAGACGATTACGACCCGTGGAAGATACGAGCGATTTTTCGAATTAAATTATATAATAATAATAATAATAATAATTTCGAATTATAACGACAATCGGAATTGTGCAAGCTGCGGCGAGAAGGGGCCCCGTGTGACTCGGAACGCGGAAACAATTGCAGCGGCGAGAGAACGCGACGAGGCAAGGTAAGGATTTCTTATTAAAAGATTATTCAAATATATATATTAAAAAATTATTGATTTTTGGCGATTAACGCTAAACCCACCGCGGTCGAAGCGACCGCTTTCTTATTTTGCAATTCTCCAAAGTTCCGAGATTTTTTCGTGAGAAACGCTTGAATAAGTTATAATTATTGGAGCAAGTTTTGTAATAAAAACTTTACAAATTCTAAATAAATTCGGTATTCTCACTTTTGTGAGGCAGTACATATGCTTAGTGTTAGTTTAGTGTTAATCCGTCCGAATTCAAATAATCGAAAAATTGTAAAACATCGAAGAAGGTTTGGGAAACGTTAGCGATCGAAGGGATCTGCGCGAAAAGCGATATCATTATTAATTAATCCCGATGAGATCCGAATGGAATACAATTTTTGAAACGGATCGCTTATTTTTATAACAAACTCAAATTCTATAACGGTTCTTTCTATAACATTTCCGGTTTAGTTGGACTAACGATAATTAAAATAGCATATTTTGAATTTTCGCGTGCTGTTCGATTTTGCTATTCGTTTCTTTTCTAAAACATTTCACTATGTTACATTGCGCAATCTTTTAAACCTCGTGATAATTATAATTCGTGTCGCTTATTAAAATGTTGAATCGAAAAGACGGTTTTATTTGATAAAATTAACAGTTTTATTACTTATGCTATGTATACTGTATATACTTATACTAATATAATACATAATTATAATATAATTATCCATATATTATATATAGAATTATAATAATCAGAATATAATAATTAATAATATAATAATTATATAATATATATAATATATTATTATAATATATTACTATAATATAATAATTATTCATATTTTTTATCTGTTCGTTTTATTCCGGCCTGGCCGCAAAATATTCTAAACATTTTGAGATCTCAGAATACGTTCTCGTTTTCTCTGAAATTACAATTTAATTAGCCGATGGTCGCCGTCGAACACGGCTAACTGTTTATTCAAATATTTACAGTCGGATAACGGGCGAGGATTCCTAAACGAACGAATTTAACAGATATTTAGAGTCGCGCTGAATTAAAAGACGGTCGACGGTGACATATACATAGATCTGAACGAAACGGGGTCGCCGAGTGTAAAAATCGCACCCTCGTTGAGACGGCGCGCGATGCTTGCTTCTACAAGCCGAATTTCCGAAACGTTTTTGGCAGAGACTATTTTTACAGCTAATTATATACGTAATAGCCGCCCTTCTCGAATTATATTTATTTATTATATATTATATATTATATTGTTATGTATTATACTGTTATATATTATACTGATATATATTATATTGTTATATATTCTATTGTTATATATTATATTGAGATATATATTATATTGTTATATATTATATTGTCATATATTCTATTGATATATATTCTATTGCTATATATATATATATATATTGATACATATTTTATTGTTATATATTATATTTTAAAGCGTCCGGTTCTGAAATTATTACACGATATTAAATCGGAGCCCGCATAAACCGAAATTTGAGCCACGCGCGAAGGTAGTGTTCTCGGTTATTCGAAAAAAAGCAAAGGGGTTTACAGTATGAATTCCGTAGAAAAATCGCGCCGATATTTCTCGAGCTGTTAATCCGATTAACGAGACGTAGAACATATAAAAATACGCGCTTCTTTCGAATTAGAAATAGAAAATAATGCAGTCTTGCTCAAAAATAGCGATGGAAGAAGAGCACAATTTGATCAAATAATCAAATCCTATGAATCGTTAATAATAATAATAATACTATACTATAGTAATATACTATATATAATAATAATAACAATATTCTATTCTATATACTATACTATACTAATATACTACATATAATAATAATAATAATATTCTATTCTATATATTATACTATACTAATATACTATATATATAATAATAATAATAATAATATTCCATTCTATATACTGTACTATACTAATATACTATATATAATAATAATAATAATAACAATAATATTCCATTCTATATACTATACTATACTAATATACTATATATAATAATAATAATAATAATAATATTCTATTCTATATACTATACTATACTAATAAACTTTATATAATAATAATAATAATATCGTTGACTCTTCGGAAACTTCGCTTCGAGTCTCCCGAAGCCAAAAATGCTGGCGGAATCTCGTCGCACCTCGAGCTCGGGTATATCCAGAGACACTTTTATATTCGAACCGAGAAATTCGTTCGACGACGTTCATAAACGAAACGGCGCGGCGGCGGCTGCGGCGGCCGCGTCGATCCGCGTTAACGGCCGCGAGGCAATAAACATTATTTTCTGCGGACGTCAGATTTCGTTTCGACGCCGCGCCGCGGTGAAAATCCGGTCCGCGGACACGGTGACTCATCGCGGGAATATTAATGCGGGCGCGCTGATAATGCAAATCGAAACGATAAACGCGTCTCGTGTCCGCGTACCGAGAAGCTCCGACATTCGATCGGTGAAGTACGATAAAAAAACGACCCTTCGCGACACCGCGCGAAGTTGACGACCGTGAAGATTCGCACGGCGTGAATCACGACTTCCTCTGGTTTCGTCTTTCGCGAGAAATTCACGACGGTCTGTTCTTTGCTTGATCAGCCTGATCGATTCACAGGGTGTCCGAAAATTATGCTACTTCCGGTAAGTTAGGGGTTGCCGGGGGTGATTCGAAGTAACGTTTTCCTTGGCGGAAATGCGATCCGCGGATTCGTTTGAAAGTTGTTCGCGAAAAACGTTGGCCAATGAGAGGCGAGCCTCGAGGCTGGCCCAAAGCGGCCCGGCCAATCGGTGGAACTGACGCAGCTATTATTTTATTATTTATTAGCTATCGTTGAGCTGCTATTTTAATATATTTTTTAATAATTAATAGCTCAATTTATTGAGCTATTATTTTATTATTTATTCACTATTATTAAGCTATTATTTTAATATATTTTTTAATAATCAATAGCTCGATTTATAAAGTTATTATTTTAATATTCATTCACGATTATTAAGTTGTTATTTTAATATATTTTTTAATAATCAATAGCTTGATTTACAAAGTTATTATTTCAATATTCATTCACGATTATTAAGCTGTTATTTTAATATATTTTTTAATAATTGCTAGCTCGATTTACTAAGCTATTATTTCATTATCTATTCACTATTATTAATCTATTATTTTATTATGTACCAGCTATTAATATTCTACAGACCATTATTTATTACTAAATCATTCTCTATCGATATTATATAATCGAAATGCCAAAATTATTCGTGGAAAGCTCCGACCTGCAAGCCCTTTATATTCAACGTTTCTGTAAAATAAATATAATAATAAATAATAAAATAACGAAACAATAGATTTACGATGGCGTCGATAGAATCGGGAAAACGAAATTCGGGAAGTTTGATAATAATAATCGTTTCAAACGAGTTCGAATTTCGGGACGCGGCAAAAGGACGAGCAGCCAGCCACCCGTCGCGGATTTTAATTCGAAGAAATTCGCGACGAATGGCGTCACGCGAGCGTGTCCGGCAGAGAGAAAGAAAAAAAAAAGAAAAACGATCTCTCATCGTAGGCGCGTTTGTTTCAAGTTTATCCAAGCTTTTATTCACGTCGCTCTAATAACTCCCGCGAGCCGAGCATTTCCGAGCTGAAAAGCCGTGTATGACTCAAGCGGTCGGAATGAACGCGCCCGAACGCGTAATCTCTGCCTCGAACGTGAAAGTTAATCCGTCTTCGAATCGTAAATACGCGATCGCACTCGAAACATCTCCCATGTGGGGGACTATGTATGTATAATATATCAGAGTATTTTTCATCGGGTGTTCCTCGCTTGTCGGAATCAGATTTTATGCCACGGACACGAATATTATCGACGGATACTGATCTACTACTGCATTTTCAAATTACACGTGCAACAAACGTAATAATTTGGCATTATTGTTATAGTATATATATCATGATATACT